GAAATATTGTAATCTTAGTAGTATATTTATTTTCTGTTAAAAACGTATCTGTTGTGGGGCCTCTACATTTTCTAATAGATAAATAACCTTTGTGTCCACATGAAACACTCAATGTACCATATGCATACTGAGTCATCAGAGCCAGGTGACATGTGTAGGCTGCACTGTGTGCAGGTGTTGTGAGTCCCATTTTAGTGTAGTTTATATCAGGTGAGGTAAACTCTGTATTTTGTATTGAACAAATTGCAGTTTGGAGTTATGGGACATTGAGAAGATGTTGTTGCAGATGTTCTTCCAGGAGTTGATATAGTTGGCTCACAGCATCAAGATCAGCAAGATCTTTTTCCTAGTCATGGACTGGTAGAAGGAGATTTCTTTTTTTGTGTGACTAGCTATGTCACGAGGGGACGATTTCAATTGTGAGTATTGCAGGAAGCTGTTACCACTGATATCATATCAGTGAGCCAGTGAGTTTACTACGTTACTTGTGGAGTTTACCTTTTATTTCAATGTGAAAACAATTCTGCCTCATACTCTGCCTGAGGAGTTGGATATATTTTATCCTCAAGCTGAGATTTTCTGTGTCTCGTTTCAGGTTTGCACATTCAGGGAGTGTTAATATTGTGAGTTCAGATGTTTGTAAAAGCATTAATGGTGATATTTCATTCAATTCAATGAAAGGATGTCTGTCAAGTCTCTAGAAAGGAAATTGTTTAAATCTTTGGTTTGAAAAATGTAACGTTGGTGGATTTGGGTGAACTTAAAGTTTCTTGTAAATTAGACCGGCTGTAGGTGAAAAAGTGTAACAACCAAACTGCTATTGTGCAGTGGTTCCCCATGTGTTGCCAACCGTTTTTATTCCAACCAAACACCCCCGCAACTTGTGTCACTGATTAGCAGACCTGCAGCCACAGAAGAGCAGCTAATCAGATAAGCCAATACCATCAATGGTGGCTCTGTTCCATATATGGTTTACAAGTCAACATGCACAATACCAAATCTATTGAACTGCAATACCTAAAAGGATTGCACCAAATTTGAATTGTATTAGTCAGAGTATACCGCTGCCCTGAACCTAAATACTGGAGGAAACCGCCATACTTTCTCACACTTTCATCCTTAGCAAGATATCACAACAACTAGATTGACATGACATGTTGTTTGCATATTCACAGTGACTAGATGATGGAGTTTGACCCTGATCAGTATTTCGGTGCATGATGAGACTAAGAGTCTACAACGTGCTCTGTGAGGCTGTACGAGCCACAGAGGAGCGCTGAGCTAACTGCTAACATGTTCTCAATGACAACGCTAACAAGCTGATGGTTAGCATGGTAGCATGCTAACATTTGCATCTTAGCACATAACCCAAAGCACAGCTCAGGCTTATGGGAATGTCATTTATTTGCAGGTCTTTGGTGATCCTCTGACTTTTTCTCTTGCACCACCCACAGGTTGACTTTCTTCTAAATAGTTTGTTTTGTGTTTTATGCATGTTATTGAAAACATATACACACACATGAGCCTAATACAATGTGCTGCAACCTGTGGGTCCCGACCCAGAGTTTGTGAATGACTGGGCTAGAGGAGGAACCCTCTAATTAATGTCCTGGTGAAGTTGTGAATGTCTTTTGATTGTATACGAACTCAACAGCATCTGTAAAAGCATTTGTGATGATTCAACCCAACAGCTTCAAAATGTTGCCCGACCCTTGACCTTTCCTTCTCTGGCTGACAGGCACAAGAGGAGTAAGGCTCACTCCAGGACGAGGCGTCTCCAGATCACACTCACAGAATCCCTCAACCTGGGGAGGCTCACTATGTATGAACTCTTTCTGTGGGTGAGCGGCTCGCCGCTGGGACACTGGCTCACTGCTCTGCTGGCTTTTCTGCACTGAGACGCATGTGGACGTCACACTGGGACATTATCAACATACTGGACGTTAGTTTATAACACACTGTGAACACATTTTGAATATGTGCTCATACACACACACACGCATACATGAGCTCCACTCATCTTAATGATAGTTTGTAACTGTATTTCTTTCACTCAAGATGAATTGTACTTTTAAGATGATTATTGTCTGAGAATATTTCTCATAAACTTTACTTGAACCGCTATCTTACATACAGTGTACAGTACCTGTGCTCACTGAGCGTATGTGGAGACGCTGCAGAGAACTTCTAGGCCATCAGACAAGAAACAGTTCCTCCACATACTCCTGTTGCTTGTGTCAAAGCTCTATTTTCGTTTTTTTTTTCTTTTATTCGCTGTACTACAAATTTCCTTTAATATGTTACGATGGTGACTTGTTACAACTTCGGTTGTCCATGGTTGGATGTTTCATAATTTATGATAAATAAAGTCAAAGGAAGCAGAAACGTAAGAATTCAAGTGTACGATGTCGTGAGTTGGACCCGTGTGTCACTTCTCTTCACTTCTCTGGTGACGTGTTTCATCATCTTTCACAAGTTCTCACCCTTTTTGTAAGCACATCTTCTTGTTTGCTAAATACCAAAACAGAATAGTTGAATAGATTGTGTGCATGTTATATATTGAGTATGTAGTGTGGAATTGTGATGTGGCACAAAGGAACGAGAATAAGCCGTTGAAAGGACAGGGCGTTGATAAACCTGTAAGAGAGGCAGAAAGAATGAAAAACAGAATGAAGCCTAAACATGAAATATCCGTTCATGTACATTTACATTCTGAAAATAAAGTAGTAAGCACATAAGAGAGAGATGGCGTTAGAGAGGCAGCTTGATTTCCTGATTCCATTATCATTAGGACTGATGATGAAGTGATCGTATGAGAGCTGTCATGGCTTTATTCCCACACATTGCTCATGTACACTCTCCTCATGTGCAGGTGATGAAGGTGAGGTGACTGGAGAAGGTGTGACTGTCACCACGGTGACTCCAGTGAGCTCTGATACTTGCATCAGATAGCTGTATCTGTCACTATGGAATAAACCATGTATGAATAAATAAAGTTGTGTTCCCTGCAGCGATTTTACTCACAAACACTTTATGAAAACTCGTATCATAATTGATGATATATACAGTATATGCACAGTGTTAGAAGATTGTTGCCCTGTTCTGCAGTTCTTTAATGCGAGTCAACGGTATTTTACAGATGATGAAAATGTCATGTTTGAGAGAGAGAGAGAGAGAGAGAGATCTGTACCACATTGAATCTGAAAAAGAAGGCAGAAATGATGCTCTAGAAGAGACGAGTGTTTTACACGTCTTGTGGGGACGTAAATCTATTTACACAGTCACATTGGAAGGACTTTCCTTTTTTTTTTTTCCCCCACAGAATGCAAGTCTCCATGAGGTAAGTGGTTTTAGGTTAGGATCAGGCTGGTAGTGGTTATGGTTAGCTTTAGGGTAAGTCAATGTAATGTCCCTCAAAGTCATGAAAACACGACTGTATTTTACATACATTTCATGGCAGGCCATCATATTGTTGATATGCTCAGTCTGGACCAACCATACGGTCTGATAAAGAGACTCCGGGATAGGCCAAGGCAGCACGTGACAGTTGGTCTCAATCTCTGGAGAAACATAAATGGCATTTAAACTGTATTCTTTCATTTATTTCTTAAATTCATCCCACAGCCTGAATATCAGCCTCACATGTTCTAATCCCCACAGCAGCCAATCTCGCAGACACACTCACTACTCGGGCTTCTGATAATTTGCCTCTCTGTGCAGTTCATCCAGCCAAAGTGCATAATTGAAAAGAAATGTCCTTGAGGAGGAAAGTATTTCTCAACCACACATTGGCCGTCCAAGCCCGTGTAAGGGGCATTAGTGGCTGCTCTTATTTGGAATGCCCCACCAGGTGAATTGAAATGAGTTTCAGTATTGTAAGCATATCCTCGACATGTCGGAGACACATTTCTACAGCCATGCTGGGGATTTGTGATTTGAATTTGATGAGCTTCATGCACACCCAAAATACACACTGTTGCTAATTTCTTCCACCTGTTCTGGTGATAAAATAACATTTTTACCATCATCAACACACAACCTGCTTCCACTGCTCCCAGAGTAGTAAGTACTGTGTGTGTGTGTGTCCGCTAGCCATAGGAGGACCATCCATTTCTATCACTCGCAGCCGCCCAGGCCTGCCACGGCTAATAGGAGCGCTCTCTCTCCTTCTCCCTCCCTCTCTCAGTGGAAGTGGTCTGAGGAGGATGAAAAGTCATACATCTATGGTGCTCATTAGGTCTTACGAACAATCTGCAAGTGAATTCCTGCTCCATTGGGCCCTAAAGTCGTGGGGCGACTGTGGCTCAGTGGAAGAGCGGGTCGCCCTTCAAATCAGAGGATCGGCGGTTCGATCCACGGCTCCGCTAGTCCATGTCGATGTGTCCTTGGGCAATACACTTAACCTCAAGTTCTTCCCGTAGCTGTGTCTACGGTGTATGAATTAATTTCGTAGTTCTTATTAAAAGAGTTACTTTACATCTAGGTGTGTCTTGATTTCCAAATAACGCATCTAGACAGTCATTGTGGTTTAGCTTAGTTCCATAATCAAAGACAACCCATTTGTACAAAGTCACAAACAAGATACAATCTTGGTTCTCCCCTGAATGGGGTTAAGGGAGCAGCAAGGAGAGCGCGGGCCTCCCTCTGTGCCGCTTGACATTTTGAGGCTATCCATAAAAGAAGAATTAGTTCTAGAGCTTCCAAAGAAATGCAAGGGTGAACAGCATTTCCCCAATCTGATCATGGAAAAAAAATCCCAATTCTTTTGGGATTGTTGCCTTCAATAATGGAGTATAACATTACAGAGCATGCAGAATACAGCACAGGTTTGGGGCAGAACCTGGAGGGGTGTCTTTATACATGTTCTTCATCGCCAATTTCACCTTTTTGGCTAAACAAATAACATTATAGGGCGAGTAGATCTACATACAAAATCAGACCACACTGTTTGATTTTTATGCATCTCATAGTTCTATCATAAATACTAGATTACACAAGATTATGGCAAAATGTATAGTCTGATGTGCTTGGTGGTCATTCAGGCAAGGCAGGCCTTCCTACTTTGACTATGAACAATGGCACATTAACAGTAATGTTGATCAATGCACATTGTCCCCAAAAAATATTTAGGACATTTTTTTATGAGAAGAAACCAACTTTTTAATATTTTCTCATTTCTTTTATCACATTAGCTTGTTTGGGATATCAAGGCACAATTCACTAGAATTCACTCTCTACTGTATATCCACTACTAATATCCACTACTCATTCTTTTTTTTTTTTTGTCTTTTCCTGTTGCGTCCAGAACCGGTTGAAGAGTTCTTTGGATATCTCTCTTCTCCACTTGTCAAATGAATCAAAACAACCAAAACAACATTGACTTAATATGAATTACAGTCAGAAAAGCAATCGGGCAACAAGTAAAGGCTCTTCTCCACGCTTTATTCTTCTGTGACGGTGTGTCTGTCAAAGTGCCTTGCTGCATTTCCTGTTAGCCATCACGTCTGTGGAGGGTGGTTGATCTAATTTCACAGCTGACAGTTGGCAACCATACAGGCTCACATACCGTGGCAAGGAAAAGTGTGTGTGTTTGTGCTTGTGTCTGCATGTGTTCACAACCATTTTAGCAACTCAGTTTCAAGCTGCCAATATGCTTCATTTGAAATTGCTTGTGGGATGGTCAAAGAGATTCAGACCCACCTGTCGAGGGTCCATTTAGAGACTATAAACACATTTGATTTATGACATGACAGGACAACACATTGTATAAAGTAGTTCTAGCATCTCCTGGCCCTCAGTCGGTATCACACTGCCAAACAATGAGTAGTGTAAGCAGTTACTGTGAGACCACAGAGGAAGAATCCCAATATTCAGGTTTCACGAGACTTTGACACAATAACAAACAGACTATATCAGATAAAAGGTTCTATATATTTCTCTGTAGGGTTCTTTCCATACTGTTGTCAGACACTTGCGTTTCCCTCACACGTATTTATCCACACAAGAGCACCATTCAAATATTATTCACATCAGAGGGAACAATATTAACCATATCATAAAAACGACACCATAGACAAATGAACAGAGTAGTAACGTTACTGCAGATGTAAAAACACAAAAGCACTTCACTTCCCACAGCTGCTGTTCACTTAAAGACAAAGTCCATCCTCCTTTCTTTGTTTACAAAGAGTTCTATGACGCGGTTGTACAGAACATCGGTGCGGTTATGGATGTAGATCATTTCGAAAAAACGATGCTGAAACGCCCGTGTGGAGGGGATCGTTTTCGTTTTAAAACGTGTTTAGCTCTCGTCTACCTAGATTATTCTGGTGCGTGATGTAATCGGGGCAACTCTGAGAGATGTCTCTTTGGTCGATTGAAGTTGATCTTCTTCAGTTTTTGTGGCTCAATACTTTCTCTTGACATATCTTTCCACTGGTTTTGGTTTGGACGGACCACCTCGTCAGTGCGTCTCCGCCCTGACAGCTCAACCTGGCACATGATGGCTGCAGCAAGCAAGGCTAGAGCGATGGATAGGTTTTTAGCAAAAGTGAGTGAATTCATGATCTTATATTATCTGCTGTTTGATACTTACCCAGCCATGCATGTGCAGTTAGCTGTTAGGATATACCGAAGGTCCTTATGCATGTAAACCCAGGCATCATGAGGATTAGTTTTTAGGCCTTGTCTTTGGCTCGGTAGGACAAATGCCCTCAAAATGCAACACTCTGATCCCGTGTCATTAAACTTTATCTCTTGCACATGACCACAAAGTACATAATAATACGCATCTAAGGATTTGTATGCACGCAGATTGTCCTTGGTATAAACACTGGGCTTCTCTATGAGATGGTTGTATGTATCAGGCCATATGATTGCTGGCCACTCGGACATATCTCAAATTAATTTTTCACATAATGTTATATTATGTGAAACATTACCACAGTCACCTTTCTAAACAAAGAAGTGCTTATTCTCATCAGGGTTCGGTGTTTGACTTGAGTGAGCTAATTAGAAAAGAAAAAAAAACTCAGATCCATTGTATTTGGGTGTGTGATGCTGTTATTGTTAGACTTGTGAAGAAGTGAATTAACATTGCTGTGTAATCACTCTGCATGTTGGTCCAGCTCAATAACCTGACACTACAGGTCACTGGCATGGCACTGGCAAGCTGCTTTGTCGATACGTGCTTCACGGCTGATACCCATTATAACACACACCAATACTTTCCGGCAGAAAGGCATGACCTATACTCTGAAGTGGAGAAGATAACACAGTGATGGGATCAATAGCACTTTGGTGGCGTCCACTCCCTGCCCCTGTGCCCTTAGGATATGTTTGAGGCCAGTAAAAATCCTAATGGATCCACCCTGTCTCTTTCTGTCTCTTTCTTTCACCTTATCTTTATTGCTCTCGCTGTCCCTCAGTGCTCCATCCCCTGCTGTAAAATATCTGTCTATCTAAGGGCAACTATTCTTTGCAAAGAAGATGTTTCCATCCTCCAAAAAACATCCACTCAGAGCTCTGAGTTTATGTAACAGCTCCGTTTGGGACTATAGATGCGTCAGCATGTATGTGGTTAGATAATTGAAACGGGAGATAGGACTGGAGAAAGAAGACATTTATACTGTAATGAATCAAATCAATTTGAACTTTTTCAGAGAGGCTGAATCCTCTATCCACCATCAATCCATCTTCACTGTGGGCTCATTTCCAAGTCAAAGAAACAACTTGCACAGGCTGTCAGTCTATCAAAGGACGAAAGGTGCGTTCACACCAAACGCAAAG